CTAAAATAGTGAATCAAAAATAAAATATTATTTAAAATAAATTTCCAACATGCATATTTTGTATAAACAAATTATTTTTTATCAAAATAAATACTTTTAACGCTTTTAATATTTCAAGACGATAAACTTTGCCTATTACTCTGTGTAATTTCGACAAATATTTAAAAAGTTACAACGATGTTACGATGACAAAGTGATAGCGCGGTGTACTATGCAGGAGTACGAGTATACCTACTGCGGGAATGGTGGGAAAAGTGATGAATTTTGGTGTTTATAAACGTAGATAAAACCTAGGAGGAAAAAAAATGGGTTACTCAGAGTATCTAATCCTATACGAAGTACTTACAATAAAACTGTGATAAAGTTTCATCTTATTAAATGATGCAAAATAAGTTATCATAATAGGTATTTATATATTTTTTTAATTTAATGAAAAACTGAGAATGGAACGGTTTACAAAGTTTATTTTAACGATATTACTTCATATTATTCTGCAAAATTCGAAGCAAATAATATAAAGTTTTATAGGTAAATCACCCCTCCCATCACCCTACCCCTACAGATATTTCGATAATGTAGCTTAGAACCAAGGCCCATCTATTTCTATAGGGAAATTCATCAAAATCGATTTAGCTATTAGGGTGCGGAATCTTTACAAACAAACTCACTTTCGCATCTATATTATTATATTATACTAGCGATCCGGTCCGACATTGCATGGGCGAAATTTATTTGAACGGGATAGAATATAGTCTATGCCACTCGAATATAATGTAGTTATATGGAAAAAATATTTAAAAAAAATCCTCTTGTAGAAGTTGTTAGAATTTTTCAAGTAAAAGTTTCTTTAGTTTTATAAATCGAGCAGATTAATCAACTTATTGTGATTAATGCTTAAAAATATATTAAATAATGTAGCTAGCTACCTTATAGTGAATGAATTTTCGAAATCGGATCAGGTTTGAGAATTATTTGTTACACACATATATAAACAACTCTTGCCTTTTTATCATACCTACATATTAGTATAGATAGTTAGGATAATAATAGTTAACCTCTGGCACCTTCATATTTGGTTCTGTGAATTATGTAAGTAAAACAAATTATGAGACTAGGATATGCACTGCATTTGTGTATATTACAATCTTAGAGTGGCATACAGCCACTGCCAATTTTAGATAGTCGACGAATAAAAGTAAATGAATTTTTTATTTTCTACTAAAAAGAACATAAGCAAAAGATGACTTTTTGAATAAATACGGAAAATAATTACTAGTTAAGTATATAATTTACATGCATTAGATATACGGATAAGGAATTGATTTAACTTTAGACATTCTTGCGAAAATTGAGGCCCATAAGGCCTGCACCCTGATGTGGAAGTTATCGTTTAGCGCAAGGTACTTAATAATCCGCTTGATATTAACTCCCTTATTGAAGTGACAAGACTGCAGTATATACCGTCTTATAATCCTAACTAAAAAGTGTAAAATAAAATAAATAAATTTAAAAAATCAAAAAGCCCGACTGCTTAATTATACTTCAAATAAAAACTGAAAAGAAAAAAACAAGTCCAGTAGTCTATAATTCTGTTAATAAGGAACAAAGCTACTTTAACAGTCGGGACCCATTATTGAAAAATATTATGTATTCTTGAATATCTAATGGGTCCCGACTGTTAAAGTAGCTTTGTTCCTTATTAACAGAATTATAGACTACTGGACTTGTTTTTTTCTTTTCAGTTTTTATTTGAAGCATAATTAAGCAGTCGGGTTTTTTGATTTTTTAATTTTTTTTTCTCTCTATTTATTAACTCCCTCACTTCCGTTCTTTCCACCTCTTATCATCTGTATGCAGACAACCTTCAGCTCTGTGTTCAGGACACCCTACCTAACCTGCGGAGTGCAGTTAGGGCTAGCGCATATATACAACTTTTAGTTGAACAACTATTTTGTTGTGTATCGTATGTATATAGCAATATATTGAAGCGCACATAGTATCGACTCGATAGTTGCTCAACAAAAAAGTCAAAAAGCTGTATCGATCGGCTTTTGATTAAAAAGTTGGACAACTATCGATCAAACGCTTAATTTGTATTGCATTGTATTGATATGCACATACCATCGACTAAACAGTCGATCCGCGACTGTCAATCTCGCTTAAGCATTTGGAGAGGCTCCGCGTCTCTAGTCACCATGGCGGGCTTTGCGGGAACTATTACGGACGGATTCGGATGAAATTTGGCACACATATAGTTTATGACCTAGAATGAGGCATAGGATACTTTTTATCCCGGAAAAATGTTAAGTTCACGAGGGATAACCAAAAAACAAAATTAAACGAGGACGAAGTCGCGGGCGGCTACTAGTATGTTAATAAATTAATTAATAGAAAAAATATATGTTGTGTGATTTTATTTATTAAACAAAAAATTATAATATGTCGTAATGCCATGGTACAGAGCCTTGAGGAGAAACAAAATAAGACGTTAAGTACTGGCGGACATATACACCACCTGTAAGATTTCTTATAGACAATATCTTCTTTTTTTTTCTTTTGAAATTTCTATAGAGCACAAATTAGAACTTTCTTGTTAACTGACATTGTATGCAACAGCTTGACTGCAGCGTTGCTAATAAAGACTGGTAGAATTGAGGAGATTAAAAAAAATCGATGATCGACTGCATCAATTGTATGCGTACCTCCATCAACTAAATGGTTTAGTTGTGTGGAAATCACGAGATCTACAAAACGCGACAAAACAGTTTAGTCGATGCAAAAGTTGTTTATATGCGCTAGCCCTTAGTCTGTTTAATCAAAATCTTTTTTCTCGCAAACGTCAGTGCACTGACAGCTTTGGAATAAACATAAACCCTGGTAAGTGTCAGGCAATCATTATCGGCAGTTCCCGATAAATTTCGCAGCTGCATTGGAACACAATCCCTGCTGTGACATTTTATTTTGTAGTGATCCCGTATTCTACAAAAGTAAAAAACCTGGGGCTTGTACTTGATCACACTCTTAGTTGGGATGGTCAAATGTAAAACACGTGCCGCAAGGTAAACAGAACACTTGGTTCGCTTTACCGGTTGAAGAATTTTCTCCCTCCGTGTACCAAAATCTCTCTTGTGCAATCCCTTGTTCATTCCCTCTTTGATTATGCTGATGTCTGTTTTACAGATACTAGATTTGTTTTACAAATAAAAAATTGATTCCGACGAAGCAGCCTGTAAAGGCTGCGAAACGTCAATAAATAAATAAAGTTTCGTGCATTAACCCGTGAAAAACTAGTTTTATTTAATGAGTGATGTGTGTGAAAACCTAAGAAACAAATCTGTTTTACAGATATAAATCAATTATTTCTTATGAAATTGGATCGTCTCCTCAACAATACCATTCGCTTCGTTTTTGGTTTACGTAAATACAACCACATCTCTGAATACCGTAATAAACTTAAATGGCTGCCTATTCGAGAGCGTAGGTACTTAAGGACAGTTTACACCCTTTTCCACATATTATACGACCCCAGAATATTTGAAATCTAGGTTTCAGTTCCTGAGGTTTTCTCATATACTAAATTCTCTAATAATAATATGATACGCAATGTACCGATTCACCACACGAAGTTTGACTCAAACTCTTTTACCCTTACTGCCGGTCAACTCTGGAATGCACTTCCTTTGAACGTGCGTAACGCTCCAAGCAGGATTGTGTTTAAGATTTCGGCGCGGGAACACTATCTTAATCTATTGAATAGTGCTTAATCTCAATCAGAATTCATCCGACACAGTATATGTGTATATATATTTATTTATTCGTGTTTATGTGTATATTTATATATAAGTATGGTCGTATGTATAGGTAAATCTTAGTATATTTGCTCATTGTTTGATTTTAATCTCTCTTCTTTGATTCTGCCGTTTTTTTAGCTCTGTATGTTCTGTTCGGTTGACTGGTAGAGAATGCCATATTAGCATTAAGGCCGCCATTTGCAGTGTAAAGGCAAAAAAGATTAAACAAATAAATAAGGTCAACTAGGTCCCTACTTCAGCACAATGCCACAACTATACGAAGGCCGCTGCGGTGCTGATATTCTGGCAGGGCCTAAGGTAGATGTGCATAAAAAGTAATAAATGACAAAATCACGGTAAACAATACCTCAAACAAAGAAACAATGTAATTAAAAAAAGAAAAAAAAAAACAACTAACGAGCCTAATCACTATATCTCATTTGTAAAATTAGAATCCAGTTCTATCCATACATTTCATTTATAAGGTAGGTAGAGCATAGCGGATATCACACTCAAATAAGAGCGCCCGTCTGAGGTAGTAACCTCCACCTTACAGAAGACCACAGTAAAATAACAATCAATACCTTTTGGTGGTGTTGTGTTTGTCGGTGAGTAAGGTTCCAGGGCTCCACGGGGTAGGGGATCGGGTCAGGGTAAGCAATGGTGCGAGTGATATTTTGGCATCGCAAGCGCCTATAGGCTTTGGTGACCGCTTACCATCAGGCGGGCCATACGGTTGCTTGCTATTAACATAAATAAAATTTCAGTTTGTACATCTTATATCAATAGGTAAATACATGGTGATGATCAGCTAATATGTACATTAGTGTAAGTACTTGCATCACCAATCCAATTAGTGAAGTAGTCGCATTTGAATTGTTGTTTGGGATAATGGCGACAGATTTGATATACTCGTATAGAGGACTTCGTATCCCTGCAAAAGCAAAAAAAAAACGAATCTGCCTTATCCCTTGTCAGACGAAACTGATAACGCGATAAGTCCAAGGCGGCGCAATGATCTGTTCTTTCTCATCTCGTCCAGAATTTATCATGACATAACGTTACTCGCCTCGCAATCAATGAAAAATCACGGTGATATAATTTCAGCAGAGATAGTAAAAATACAAAGTCAACACATGAACACGGTTTAGCTCTATCCGTCGCGTCCGTCATGCCAACAACGCAGCTGTAACACAGTACAAAGTGATTCGCGCTCGCAGTCGCACGTGTCGTTACGACTTTAACCGAGCACAGTGTCATCGCGCATTTAATAAAATTAAAAGAAACGAAAACATTCTATTACATTTTTGTATAAAAAATGGAATTCAGGGTCATCGAAAGTAGCCTTGGGTGAGTAATTGTCATTTGTTTTTTCCTGCCAAGTTGCCGGCGTGTATCAATAAACTTTTTTTTACATCGAGAAAAACTAATTTCCTTATCTTCAACTGTGGTTATGTATTTGTTGTAAGGTTAAGTACCTTTACGGTAGTATTTAATGACAACACTAAACATTTAACTTTGCCTAAAGTTTGTGCTGTTAATTTATTTCTGAAACAATATAGTAAGACAACACGTAACTTTAAAAGTTTTTCAATTTATTTAACGTCTGCGAGTACGGCTCGGGTTAGCCACAATTATCTTCACGGTTCGATAATGAAAAAAGCACTGGAACTATTGAAAACTCCAACAGTAAAGCGGTCAGATGTATAATTTAATTAATAAAGCCAATGGACGTGAAATTCCAATTGTCGAGTGCAAGAAAGGTTCTAATTATTAAACTATAAATTATTGCAAAGTGTTTACAAAAACAAGCGAGGGCCTAATAAAGGCTTTCAATTAAGTTTTTGTAAACATAAATTCATCAGCCGTTTATTAATGTGACGTTGAAAGATTCCTGTCTCTCTTTAACGATACCTTACTCTTAACAGATCAGAATTCGATTATAAAAAGTTTCTAAGCTAGTCATTATAAATTTGGTCAAAGTGTATTTTTTACGCGTTTTATTTATATCAATATAAACCTAAATTAGTTTTGTATTGTTGTATTTTTTTTGGAATTATTAAATATCATCTAAGCCTAGCGATTTTAATTATTTAAATATAGGAAAACCACCTAAAAACCTAATAGCGACATCATGAAATTTTATAAACATTTGTCCTCTCACTACCGTAAAAGTTTTTCATCCGATAATGCCAATTTGCATTCCAGAAGATAATACTTACAAGCCGATTCCACGCTGAAAATCTACGGACTGCCTAAAAACTTCAGAATACTATTTTTCATTATTTTTCCTGTAAATTTCTGAATAATATTACTTACTTTATAACTTATTATTACTTTTTTAATTCTATATAAGAAATTATATATTTATAACTTAAAATAAGGATGATAAACTGATAAATATAAAATAAAAACTGACACATTAAAAAAATATTCACATGTATAAATACTGCTTCGCTCTCATTCCCAGTGATTCAACATATATCGTACTCCTCCGATAGCGCGAAATATATCCAATAAAATAAATCCAATAATCTATCAGGTTTTTTAGATATAATATATGTACATAATAATGATATAAGAAACGTAATTTTTAACTTTTCTGAAATACTAGTTTCCTGTGAAAATAAGAGTGAGAGAGTCAAAATCGTACGCCTGCACGCACATTAAAACCGACCCATCTGTCAGATTTTTATATGTATATAATAAAAATAAAATAACAAATATAATTTTTAACTTTGCTTAAAAATAATGCAAATTAAAAAATAAACGAAGCTTTACAATAGTGTCAAATATATTAGAAATAGCAATAAGTGTCTGTTGTTAAATTTTTAGTAAAAAATATATACCTATTAAGATATCAAAACGGCAGACATGCTGCTGGTTACGTTTTGAGAGTAGATTTTGATGCTTTTCGGCTTCTGGGTACGCCCAAAGGCAACCCCGATGGGAATAGCGAATCACCACTTCTCTAATGATATGTGATCTCATTTCTCTAATCTGGACATGTTCATGGCCAGAGTAAACAGGCATCTTCTAGGCAGGCGTGTACCATCCTAGGCCTCATCATCGCTTTCCATGAGGCGATATTGTGGTAAAAGGCCTTGCCTATTAAGCATAAAAAAAACGATTTCAAAATCACCATTTCTCTTATAATATAATATTAAAACAGCAGACATGCTGAGGATTACGTTTTAAGAGTACATTTTGATGCTTTTCAGCCTCTGGGCACGCCCAAAGGAAACCCCGATGGGAAAAGTGAATCACCATTTCTCCAATGATATGATGTCCAATTCACCATTTCTCTAATGACATGATATCAAAACGGCAGACATGCTGCGGATTACGTTTTGAGAGTACATTTTGATGCTTTTCAGCTTCTGGGCACGCCCAAAGGAAACCCCGATGGAAATAGTGAATTACCATTTCTCTAATGATATAATATCAAAATGGCTGACATGCTGCGGATTACGTTTTGAGAGTACATTTTGATGCTTTTCGGCTTCTGGGCACGCCCAGATCAACATTTCTCTAATTATATTTGATCTCATTTCTCTAATGATGTGATGTCAAAATCACCATTTCTCTAATGATATGATATCAAAACGACAGACATGCTGCGGATTACGTTTTTAGCGTACATTTGATGCTTTTCAGCTTCTGGGTACGCCCAAAGGAAACCCCGATGGGAATAGTGAATCACCGTTTCTCAATGATATGTGATCTCATTTCTCTAATGATATAATATCAAAACGGCAGACATGCTGCCGATTAAGTTTTGAGAGTACATTTTGATGCTTTTCGGCTTCTGGGCACGCCCAAAGGAAACCCCGATGGGAATAGTGAATCACCACTTCTCTAATGATATGTGATCTCATTTCTCTAATCTGGACATGTTCATGGCCAGAGTAAACAGGCATCTTCTAGGCAGGCGTGTACCATCCTAGGCCTCATCATCGCTTTCCATGAGGCGATATTGTGGTCAAAGGCCTTGCCTATTAAGCATAAAAAAAAACGATTTCAAAATCACCATTTCTCTTATAATATAATATTAAAACAGCAGACATGCTGAGGATTACGTTTTGAGAGTGCATTTTGATGCTTTTCAACCTCTGGGCACGCCCAAAGGAAACCCCGATGAGAAAAGTGAATCACCATTTCTCCAATGATATGATGTCCAATTCACCATTTCTCTAATGACATGATATCAAAACGGCAGACATGCTGCGGATTACGTTTTGAGAGTACATTTTGATGCTTTTCAGCTTCTGGGCACGCCCAAAGGAAACCCCGATGGGAATAGTGAATCACCGTTTCTCAATGATATGTGATCTCATTTCTCTAATGATATAATATCAAAACGGCAGACATTCTGCCGATTAAGTCTTGAGAGTACATTTTGATGCTTTTCGGCTTCTGGGCACGCCCAAAGGAAACCCCGATGGGAATAGTGAGTCACTATTTCACCTACGGCAGGTGAAATAGTATACCTTACATTAATTTCGAGTTTGCTTATATACCGTAAGTCTGCGGAACGCTGGCTCTCAGTCTATGAGTAGTCTCGATGTTTTGAGAATATCTAATTCCGTATCATAATAACAAGTAAAATTTTCTTGTTGATACCAATTCAAAGAAAAATTTGCATAAAAGATACGAAGGTTTCCTAATAAAAACAAAATGCCGCTTTGCCTGGTGGGTACTGTATGGAATTCCACATGACTTTAATCAAACTGTTTTTTTATTCTTTAAAAACGAAATAAGAATTTTGTGCATGTTGAAATATTGGAAACAAAAGACTTCGTACAATATATACAGTTTCTTAACAATATTTTAACGGTAAGTAACGCTTGAATATAACACCATTGTTTTGTTGATGATATTTGATTTAAGACAAAGATATGAATGGTTTTGATTCTAAATGCTTTTGAACAACTGTTCTACCAAAAACGTGAATTATTTCATAACAATCGTTAAAATGATGATGAGTGAGCTAAAGATGAAATTGTTAACAGAATTAAATCATGAAGCTATGCAGAGGAAAAGAACTACTATTTTTGGCGTGTTTTATTCCTTACATAATTAATTTTAACACCCCTTCAGAAAATGTATACATACATAAAAATACTGAAGAAATACGTGTAATATGTATTTATAGATAAAATTGTTTTTAAATGTATTTTTAAGCAGCCCATACCAATTACAACTCCGCGCCGCCGGCATTAAAAAAATATACATCGATCCATTTTAGCATCATCGACGACTGCTCACACGTGTGTTGTTGTTTTTTACTTCTTATAGCATGCTCCTTTACACAGCCGCTTAATTTTTCGATGAACGTTCCCTAAAGGCGAGCTCTACCTGAGTAGGTGCATTTCGTGTTTTCATATATTTTTTCATTGGTCTTCATTTGTTTCTAATCTTGAAAATAAACAAGATAGGTAATTATTGACCTTTTTATTATTTATATATTTATATTAACTATGTGTGCAGAACTTTCAAGGAAAGAACAAAATGTTACCTGAACCATGAAACTTAAACGAACTCGTAAATTTTGAATCAGTGTACGTCGTATTTAATTCATGTTCCATACATAAGCTTCCTGAAAATAAGAGAAGCTTTGTAATTACCGCAAGGCGAATAGAATAATCTCTTCTGCTTTTCCATCACTCACTTATATAATATTTAAATATAAATGCTGTATATTTGGAATTTATAAGCTTAGTTGTTATGTCTACTTTAGTCAGTAGTTCTGTTATCTAGGGATTTTATTTTTCAATTATATGAAGAGACAAGCTTTTGCTCGAGACTTTGCTCGCATTAGATTTGACTTTCAGTGAGTGAATGAATGTAAAACTCTATACCAACTTTGAACAGCCGTTTTGCCTTTTATATATACACACTATAGAGGACTAAAATAAGTATCATTCAGTACAGTATAGATTTTATTCCATCCAACTGGAATAACTCTAGAGGCACTCGCTAATTCTCGGCTTGAGGTCCCCTACGGATCTCGCCGTCCCCAAACCAGGTGACGCTGTAAAGGTCACCTGCGACTATCAGCATACACAGTCAAAAGATAAAGGGCATCCCCTTTTTATTTATTACCTCTTAGGGGTAGATTTTCGAAAAACCCTGATACACGTTATTCTTTATTTCTGGTCTTTAGTGAAAATACAAAGTTTCGAGTTAATCGAAATGCGCGTTCAAATGAATCCATATAAAAATTTCGACACCCTCCCAATCCCCCTTTACAGGATAGTTCAGGAAAAATAAAAATGACAATCTTTATAATTTATTAAGATATATAAGTATTTGTTAAAATAAAACTAAATTTAACGGGTTAATGCACG